AATGCTGGAAGATATCTTTAAGATAACAGTGAATTCAAGCAAGTACTCAGAACTGGAGTCAGTGCTAAACAGAATACAGATTGGACAATGTTTTAAAGGGCATTGATTGGTATGTACACTTTATGGCACTTGAAAAACTACACACTTTAATTAAAGTATTTCCTCTTGAATAAAATTCTTATTATTCCATTCTCTTTAGGAGTGCCAGAAGCTATGCTGTTATTATTATTATTTTTTTTACATAACTATGAGGAATGGTATATACTCCAGGGCAGGAGTATTCAATTGGACTTTCTGCTTAACTGGAGACAGCCTCATTACAATGTTCTAGTGGCTATTATTATTTCTACTATGGATTTATCCCCCAATGTATTCTCTACCGAACTCTTACACTCTATATGTTTTGTACACATCTTGAGTGTGATATACTTGGGATAAATACTCAAAACAATGATATGTATTATAAGAGAGGATAGAAACAGTAATGTTAAAAGGACATAAAAAGCATAAAGCACAGACGGTGGTTATTATGTTATTTATAGCGGCCATTCACATATGCTGCATACAAAGATCCTTAGTGCCTTGATATGCTTTCTGTATTCCATTTTGCTTTGTCCTCACTATAGTATTTACAATCCCTCCATAACACTCTCCCAAAATGCAACATTATCACCCAGAAACAGGTATTTTTGTGAATGAACTTGGTTTCTTCAGATAGGGCACATAGGTTAAAGTTGCATTATTTGTTGCCAAATACTTGTTGCTCTTTTAAAATTCTAAATAAGGTTTCTATTATCCTGGACCATTTTCTGGCAATTCCCAGCAGTTAATTCCCATCCTTAAGTGGATTTGTTTTCATTCTGAGATGTATTGCAGCAGCAACAACAAAAACCTTTTGCTTCTTTCTTTCACTCTTTTATATTTTAAGAGTTACAGTGCATTAGTACATCTGTAGATCACTGTAGTGTACTTTTGCTCTATAGCATTATAATGCTAATATTTAAAAAAAGAAAAAAGAAAAGAAAAGCTGCCCTTTAAACCACAGGACCATCAGCAAAGCAAACTTCAACCCATTTAAAAAAAAAAAAATTCAAAGAGCCTCAGTGTAGATGCAAGAAATCAGCTCCCCAAAATAATGGAATGGGTGGACATGGTGGTGACAATAACTGGCAAAACTTGACAAAATCCAAGGGTTTTTGATATTGTGAAGATTCATAGTTCTTTAGATTGATCTGGAAGAGCCCACTGTTAATAAGGCCATTATGTGTGTGCCTTCTGGATTTCATTTACCTCTAACCTCACTGTTTACAACTTTCATCTTGTGTGTGTGTGGGAGGCATACACACATACCTTTGGATGTGTGTACTATTATAAAACAGTAGAACACAACT